CTGGCCATGCTCCCCAGGCCGCCTGCATGTTCCTGTCCCACAGAGTGTGCCGCTGAAACACTGAGGTCTGTGGACCAGACTTCTCTGTGGCCCTTGTATTTGGTTTCCACTTCCTCATTCTCAACTTCCTCCCACCCACACCCACACCCCCATCTAACTTCATCACTAAGGGACAGAGGCCAAAGAGGAGCCTGCTACTGAGGGGTCCTAGCCTAGGGGTGCCAGAGGAGGGAGAGGGCGGCTGGGCTACAGGGAAGGGATGAGGTTCTGAGGACAGAGGGTGGGCCAGTCAGGCTGTAGGGGCCGGCATGTCTCATTCTCTCTACTCCAGACAATGATGGTGTGTTACAGCACCCCTTCCCTGAGAAACATTTTCATAATTAAAAAGTACATAAGTGGCCCTAGCTGGTTTGCTAAGTGGTTAAAAGTGTCAGCCCGCAAATTGAAGGGTCTTGGGTTTGATTCCTGGTCAACGGCACATACCTTGGTTGCAGGTTCGATCTCCAGCCCCCGGAGGATTGCATGCAAGAGGCAACCAGTTGATGTGTTTCTCTCACATTGATGTTTCTCTCTCTCTCTCTCTTCTCCCCCCCCCCCCTTCTTCCTTCCTTCCACTCTCTCCCTAAAGATCAATGGAAAAAATATCCCTGGCAAGGATTTTTTTTTAAAAAGTATATGAGTGATCTGGTAAAGATGAAAATACATATACCCTATAACCCAGCAGCCCCACTCCTCAGAATGTTCCTTAACCAAACTCTTACCCTGTGCACCAGATACCCACACAGCACCAGGAGGAGTCCAGATGCTGGCTCATCACCACTGGAGAATACAAATACCATGTGCAATGTTTCTGCGGTGAAAATGAATGAACCACAGCAACTTGCAGATATGTAATATGGTATAGAAAAACTGTCATAATGATGACTCTCATCAACATTATGGAACACAAAAGAATATGTACATAATTCCTCTCATGAAAAGTTTAACAACTGGCAATCCTGGACGGTATTGTTTAAGGATACATGCAGAAGAGGCAAAATATAAACAACAGAAATTATCACAAAAGTCCATTTAGTCATGACCCCAGGGAGGGTTGGGGTTGTGATTAGGAGTGCACAGGGGTTCACAGTAGGCATTGTTGTATCTCTGGACCTGGTGGTGGTTATACACATCTTTGCTTCATGTTTTGTACTTACTAAACTGACTGTATGTTCTGTGCATTTTTGTGCATAAGTATTGTTTCACAGTAAGAAGTGCACTCGGTCAGGCCCGGCGCTGACCGGTGTGTGAGTGGGCAGGGCAGCGGCAGCCTGCTTTCCGAGCAGCACTCAAGAGTGTCACACTGTTTGCTGAACCACAGCTGTCACTGTAGCCTGTGGAGCCCTGGAGGGAACAGAAGACAAGGACTGGTATGAAGTTAGGGGTGGAGGACATCCTTTGACATGTCAGTGCAACCGGCGAAGGTCAGTCAGTGTTTGTGGAAACGGGGCTGGAAGACACCGTGGTCAAGGCCTGTCTGCACTTGAAGGGATCTGAAGGGGCAGAGGACACATGCCAATGACCGGGCCTGAGACCCAGCCTCCTGTGGCCCCTGTAGAACATTGATTCAGCTGGAGTTCCCATCCCAGGACTCCTCTACAGAGATGCCTATATTTGTTGATTATCTGCATTATGCCCAGCCCCTTAAGAATACAAAAAAAAAAAAGGAAAATAAAAGCCTTCAGCAGTGCCTGGGACAAGATGCATAATAAGGAATCTCAGGCCACAGGATGAGGCTCCTGGCTCTCTCCCTAGGGGAATGGCGTTTTCTAAGCTTGCAAGCTTGTTTTATTCATCCTTGTTCCCCTAGCCTGCAATAAGCCATGGAGGACAGTTAATAAACGTTTGCTATGTGAGCAAGTGTGCAGATTGTGCTGTAGGGAGTAAGGCCTCATCACGTCCTGGACAGGCAGCTACCAGGCTCCCTGCTTCTCTGGTTTGTCTCCAGAGAGAGGTCTTCCTCAGGGGGTGCCAGGGCTATCGCCCCTGCAGCCCATCAGGGGTTAAAGATGACCCTCGGTTTCCTTCTCCAAGCTAAATTCACCAGTTTCCACGATTGTCTTATAGCCCTCAGCATTCTGGTTATCCAATCTGGAGGGCAACAAAAGCATCCAGATATGTTCCAAGCAGACAGAACCATGGATATAGATGGAAAATTAGGGTTCTGTGCTTTGGCAGTCAGTGTATCGGAGTTGCAATGGTGATAGTTTCTGGCAGGGCCTCCAACACCAGAAGAAGGCTTCTAATCATCTTTCTTTGGTGTTTTCACAGCCTTTACACAGATACTTTTAAGACCTATGTAATACTTTCAACAATAAAGATTTTTAAAAGAACACATAAAAATGTAAATAAAATAGTATCTTTTTATTGATTTGGGGGTGGGGGGAGGGGCGGCGGAGAGCGAGAGAGAGCGAAGCATCCATTAGAGCAAAACATCAATCTGCTGCCTCCTGCATGCACCCCAACCGGAGATTGAGCCCATGACCCAGGAATGTGCTCTGACTGGGAATTGAACTGGCAACCTTTCAGTGCACAGGACAATGCCCAGCCAACTGAGTGACACCGGCCAGGGCAACACAGATACTTTTCTTACGTAAAACTCCACGAGGTAGCCTTGTCACCAGTGTTATATTTCTCTTTAACTCTCCTGGAGACTCCCTGAGAGCTGGCTTGGGGTAGGCACCCCATAGATGTCAGTTCATATTATTTACTTTGTTGTTTTATTATTTGAATGAACAATCATAAATTCAGGGTCACGAACTGAGCATGTACTCTGTGTCAGGCACTGCTGGTGCTGGAGTATAGCAGTGAACAGAATAGGCCTGTTCCTGCTCCCCAGAGATCCCAGACTCTGGGAAGACTTGTTGATTGAATAATAAATGCTGGTTAAATTCATTGTGAACAACACCACTACCACCAGACATTCACTGGGTGCTCCCTGTATGTTCAACTCAGAACACACTGTCCTTGCCCTCCAGTGCTAGAAGGTGGGAGTTGAGGAAGACACCATCATGAGAATGAAAAACCACTGGACTTGGACTGAACTGACTTACAGATCATATCCTAGCACTGCCACAAACTCATTGTATGACCATGGATGAGTTAACTTGACCTCTCTGAGCCTCAGTTATCAGTGAAATGGGTATAACAATACCTCAGAGACAGGAGAGGATCAGTTAGGGTCACCACATTACATACCTCCAGGGGATACTGCTCACATTTTAGTTTCTGCAGTTGCTGGTTACCTGAAGTTAAATGCCGCGCTCTGTGACCTGAAGTCAACAATAAATGATGGCTATTGTTATGCACAAGTAGAGGGAAGCAGGGGTCACTGCAGGCCAGCAGGCTGCACAGGATTTGGCCAGGCTTTGTTCTTTCCAAGGAAGGGCGGGGCTCTGAGAAGTGCAGACTGATGCAGGCAAATGCCAGGCTGATAAGGGGGGGTGGTGGTCTTAACCTCAAGGCCTAAGTAAGGAGTTCTCTAGGAACAGAGAAGCTGCTGGGAGCTGAGCATCAGGCAGGGATGGAGGAGATGAAGGTGAATACTTTATCGAGCTGCCAAGGATCCTAGAGAATGTTTTGTCCAGCATCTTGTCTCACAGGCCAACAGAGGCCAGGGAGGGAGAAGAGTGAGTCTCAAGGTCCCGTGGCAAAGACCAGGGCCAGGACTCCCGCCTGTGCAGAACCAGCTCAAATGACTCCTCAAGCCCAGGTTGTGGCCCCACAAAAGGAAGTCCCTGGTACTTTTCATTTATACAATTTTTTTTCAGATGGTAAAAGTAATTATAGCATTATGGGGCATTTTTAAATTATAGAAATATAAGAAAGGAAATATAATCACCTAACCCCACCACCAAAAGCAATCCCCATTAGTATTCTTATGTTTTCTTCCAGAAGGTATTGCACACAAAGTTAAACATCCTATATTTATTAGATTGGAGTTGTATTGTGCATAGTTTCATGTTCCGCGTTTTCCCTGTAAAACTGGGAGTGTTCTGTGAACAAAGGGGCTATTTTAATGCAAAAAAAAAAAAACCCTCTAGAAATCTTTTTCCTTAGCAAAAAAAGAAGAAGAAGAAGAAGGTGCAAAGCTACCGTCTGTGGTGGTTGGGAGGACATCCTGCAGGCTGCAGGGTGGCTCCGGCTCACATCCGCTGTGAGCTCCGAGGCAGCGGCTTAGAAAGTCAGGTCTTTCTCTTCTCTCCTGGCCAGGCTGCAGCTCGTGCCTGCCCGGCAGGACAGATGACTCTGCACTCACCCGTCATTTGCCGACCCGGGATATGTAACCACTCACTCCATCCAAAGGCATGTGGGGTTGTGACCACTACTGTTTATTAACAACAGCATCTCAATCTGTGCAGCACAATGTTTTCTCAGGGGTTATTTCACCCAAGACACACACCCGGTGAGTCAGGTAAGACAAAAGCTGTTATGCTCGTTGTACAGATGGAGAAACTGAGGCTACAAGAAGTCTAGTGGCTTCTTCGAAGCTACACAGCTAGTAGGTGACAGAGCAGGCAGATTTGACTGACCTCCAATTTAGTGATTTGTCCTCTCCCCTCTTTTCCCCTCTAGTCCTCGTATTTCCTGAGGGCAGCTGGATCCCCTTAGTGAGGCCAGGGACTGACAGTGCTGTGTGCCGGAGCCCTGCCCTGGGAGTTGTCAGCCAAGCCTGCAGGCCCTGGCTGGCTGTGCGGAGTGGCCTGACCTCAGGGCATGACTCAGAGCCAGCACCCTCGCTGGTTTGGGGAGTGGGCTCTGGGAGGCAGCCATTTCCTACAGACACGTCCAGCAGAGCACTGTTCTTGACCTGCCCTGGGCCCCAGAATCTCAGTGCCTCCCAGGACAAAACAGCCTCTCACCGAGGGATGGTGGGGCTCTGTGAGACCCGCTCTAACCAAGGGATGTGGGGCAGCTGCAGCCCCTGGGTGGTTTCTCAGTATTGCTGCTGAACCATCGACTAAGCGGCTTAAAACACAGATTTATTATCGTACAGTTCTCTAGGTCAGAAACCCAAAATGGGTCTTAACAGACTAACGTCACGGTGTCAGTAGGGCTGCATTCCTTTTGGAGGCTCGAGTAGAGAATCTGCTTCATTGCCCTTTCCAGCTGTAGAGGTTGCCTGCATGCCGTGGCTTGTGGCGCCTTCCTCCATCTTCAAAGCCAGCAAGTCAAGGCTAGTCAAGTCTTTCACACAGTTCCATCTCTCTGGTTCTGATTCTTCTGGACCAGCCAGATAATCCAGGATAATCTTTGTTTTAAGATTACCTGATTGATTCCATCTGCAATTTTAATTCCCGGTTGCCACCTAACATAACATGTTCAGAGATTCTATGCATTAGGATGTGGACATTTCTTCTTCTTTTTTTAATATTGTTGGCACCATTACAGATGTCCCCCTCCCACCCTTTGCCCCCATTACCCCTCCCCCTTTGCCTCCCTCCACCCAGCCCCTGCCCCTCCCCCCTTCCCTCTGGCCATCATCACACTGTTGTCTGTGTCTATGGGTTATGCATATATGTTCTTTGGCCAATCACTTCACCTTCGTTCATCCAGTCCCCTCCTCCCTCCTCCCCCCGCCCCTCTGACAGCTGTCAGTCTGTCCCATGTATCCATGTCTCTGTTTCTATTTTGTTCATCAGCATATTTTGTTCACTAGATTGGATGTGGACATATTTATCCCACCATGGACCACTACTCTGCCTACTCCGCTAGGTTATCCAAGGGACCCATCCGCAGGCATAGACAGGGTGTGGGGCCAGACCACAGTCAGGATGTGCCAGCCACTGTGAGAGAGGCCCTGTCTGCCCAGGCCCCCTGCCACCTGCCTGCTCCTGACTCAGCTCAGCCTGTCCTGGCCTCCTCTTCTCCCATCTGCTGCTCCCAGTTGGAGGCAGAGAGGACCTGGGCAGGATGCACCAGGAGGTGTGGACAAGAAGGAGGGAGGTGTAAGGCTGGTTGCACCAGGGCTGTAGGAGGCCCTGGGAGGCTGAGCGCTGCCCACCTGGAGACGCTACACTTTCCAAGGACGGGCCTAACCTCTGAGGGGGGCTCAACACAGAGTCTAATGGTCGCTGCAAGGCTAGAGGGGCAGGCAGCTAAGTATTGGAGTCCCTCCACCTCTGCAGGCCTGGTTGTCCTTGATAATCAGATTTTACTTGACCCCTTCCTTCAGGTGCTGACTGTCTGCCTTATTCATTCCCTTCCCCCTCTCTTTCCCTGGGCTGCTTGGTGAGGGTCTGGGAGCTCTGAGGCCCAGCAAGAGGGCCTGTGGACAGCAAGGGAGGGAGAGGCTGGACAAGGCCTTTGGCCCTCCAAGTAGGGTGACCAACTTGCCCTAGGTTTGTCCAGGACTTTCTCAGTTTTAGCACGGAAGGTTCCACATCCCAGGAGACACCTCGGTCCTGAGCAAGGGCCTTTGCACCTCCTAATCTACTCTAAATTACCTCTGCAGCCTGCACAGCTGGCCCTTTGGACTCTGGGATGCCAACCTCTGCACAGTATCTGGGCACAGAGAAACCTGGGGCTGAGGAAGGGCCCCAAGCCAGGGCCCGGGAAACAGACTCCTGCTTGCGGTGTTCGCAGCAGAGGCATCGCTTGTGGAGCCATGCCTGTGTCTGCCTGGGACAGAGCTCCTGGACATGTGCGCAGGGCTGAAAAATTATATTTGCACCCGAGTCTCTCAAAATTTAACAGCCTGATTACTTCTGGACGGTGTGCTACAGGTGGCTTTAATTAATGTTTCTATTTACTCATCTGTATTTCTTACTCTGTACAACTGAACCATGTTCCTTTTATTTGTGTACATTTTTAATAAAAGAAAGTAACTAATGACCCAACCTTCCATCTCCAGTAGTCCTGCTGAGGGAGCCAGACGGGTTGTGCCTGCTGTATGTCGTGGACACAGTGGCGCTTGTTCTGGGATCTTTAGCCCGGGCTGCTGGTTGGACGAGTCTCTATTGCAGGAGCAGAGCTAGTTACCTTTCTCTGCCCTCCCTGCCTCTCACTCTGCTCCCTGCACCCCTGAGTCCAGCCTAGGTTGTCCCCAGGGAAGGACTCAGAGAAGCCAGGTGGGCAATGGACAGAGCAGGTGAACAGCTGCTGACTGCAGGGTTTTGCAGGCCCAGGGTTTTGCAAGAGATGCTCTCCAGCTCCGGGCCTGCCTGAGCACTGTGGAGAGATGCAGGAGATGACTACTTGTCCCGGGGGAGCTCTCAGTCTGGCTGGAGAGACTGGGCACCTCCGAGTGGGGAGTAGCAGACAGGAAGGGGACAGGCACTGGATGGTGAGGCTCTGCCTGTGTGGGTTGTCAGATAAGGGAGGGCCTCAGGGCCACAATGCATGTCTCTTAGTATGGCCAGAGGCCAAAACTGGGGTCCTCCCGAGTGACCTGAGGCAGGTTCCCCAAGAGGGGCCAGATGGGCACCTGGGCTTGGAACTCTGGCCGCTGCCAGTTCATGACAGATGGGTGGTGATGAACAGTCACCAGGCTGTTCTGAGTCTTGAGAAGTTGCACATCCCTTCGGGCCCTCCCCTCTGCCCCACCCTACCCCACTCCCCCACCCCCAGAGAATACCAGACTCCCACACCCACTTGCCCAGCCCTCACCATGGCTCTCAGCGCCCTCACATCCAGCTCCTCTCCCCATCCTGGCAAGCCAAGAAGGAGCACTGGGAGAGGAGTCCTCCGTCTGAGCAGTGACAGCCACCTTCCTGTCCCACGGCCAAGGTCAGTGTGGCCCATGTGTGTGACAGGACCCCTTGATGTGTTCTTCGTCTCAGAAAAGTAATAGCTCTTCTGGCATCATGACTTCCTCCCTGTCCACCCCAGACCCCCAAACACCACCACTGTGCCCACACGGCTCCCTTCTTTCTCAAAGAAGCCTAACCCCACCCCCGCCCCACCCCCACCCCAGGACCCATGTGGCCTCCTGAACGGAGAGCCTGGCATATCCTCTCACCTCTGTGAGCAAAGGTGTGGCTGAGGAGTTGAATGCTGTGGAAGAGCTCGCTGGTCCTGCCCTAATTCCGATTGAGAGTCTGATGGGAAGTGGTGGCAGAACTGAACACCCTGCAGCCACCTGGTTTCCAAGGAAAAGCAGAGGGCAGAAACCAAGAAGGAACCCAGGCCAATGTGAGGCATTTGGCCAGAAACAGAGTGAGGGCCCCACCCGCCGTCTCAGCTGGGTCTGGAGGACAGGGCTGGGCACGTCTGCTGAAGAAAGCCTGCCAGTGAGTCTGAGCGCCCACCTGATGTGGGGCAGCAACCAGCCAGCTGTCAGAAGTGCTGTTTTCTCAGGGACCAAGAAGCCAGGATTTGAGTCACGACAGCCACAGAGTGGCTCCAACCACATGGCTGGGAGTTAGAATGCACCCCAAATGGTTCCGGCTGGTACAGTCACCAGAGTCCAGACCTCTGAGGACCCCAGGACCCCACAAGGGTCTGGTTTTGAGCGGAACAGGAGCACATGGCTCAGACAGGCAAGATGAAAAGTTCTCTTTGATCCCTAGAGCTGAGATAAGGGCTAACAAGCCAGAGTTCCCTGGAGCCGGTTCACAGACTTGTGTGGCTGAGCTGCCCCCTGCACTGAGGCCAAGTCACAAGCGGTCTGTGTTCTACCCTCCTGGGGCCCATGCTCCTCTAAACTGCAGGTGGCCTCCAGGGCATAGGTGGGGCATCCCCCTCCTTGAGAACCAAGACAAACCCTACCCCATTGGGGCCCTGGGGCCTGTAGCAGCAGAGCCAGTCCCCTGGGGTGGGAGAGGTCACGAGTGCTGAAAGCAGGGGCGGGTCCTGCACAGTGTCAGAGCAGCTGTGGCTTTTGCTACCTTCTCTCGTGTCTCCAAAGGCTTTCTTGGCATGAGGTGCTAGAGCCCTGCTCCCGGGCAAGCTCTGCCAACCTTCCTCCCCAGGCCTCAGTTTCCTCCTCTGCAGGCAGCCTGATATTGTGGAGGCAGTCTGGGTTCTGGGCACAAACAGCTGTGGGTTGGAATCCAGGCCCCATACAGATTAGCTGAGTCATCTTAGGCAAATGTCTTATGCCAGTTGAGCTTTGGTTGGTCTGTGAAGCAGGGGCTGTGGTAGGTGCCGGTGTCATGGTGCATAGGGGGTGCTTTGCACCTTCTCATGGTGAGCCCTGGAGGGCTGTGTTACCATTACCCAGCCAGACTTTGAGGTCCTTTCCAGTGCTGCCTATTTCTGAGCTCCGTGGAGCTACATAAGGGATGGTGAGCTGGACATCTGCCTCTTCTCTCGCTCCGTCCCCATGTCCTTGCTTTATTGCCTTCAGTATTTCCCCAGTTGAAATTAAACTCTGTGTAGACTCTCTAGGCCAGTGATGGCGAACCTATGACCCGCGTGACAGAGGTGACACGCGAACTCATTTTTTTGGTTGATTTTTCTTTGTTAAATGGCATTTAAATATATAAACTAAATATCAAAAATATGTCTTTGTTTTACTATGGTTGCAAATATCAAAAAATTTCTATATGTGACACGGCACCAGAGTTAAGTTAGGGTTTTTCAAAACACTGGCACGCCGAGCTCAAAAGGTTCGCCATCACTGCTCTAGGCCCACCTCACTATGGAGCCTGCAGAAGTAGGGGCTTCTCCTCCAACTCCCACCCCAGGAAATCATCAGAAAGGGGTCTTTGGGCAGCTGCCTGGAGTTAAGAAAACCATGTGGCCAACCAGCTATTCCTTTGCACTGCCTGAGACTTGGCCTCACCAGGGAGTCTTGGCTGACAAAGACAAGTCTTATTCTTCCCAGAACTTTCACTCCTGGAAAAGAGAGTACACCAGCTCCCCACTCTCCCTCCCCAGGCTCCTGCCCCTGTGACCGACCACTGGTACAAGTGGGGAAAGGTTAGTGCAGTGTTCTGATGAATTTCAGGCATCCTCACCGTGGAGAGTTAGTCCTGCCCAAGTTAAGGAAGGGCATTGCATCTGACAGAGACAAAGCTTCCTGGGTGCTCCAACAGGACCCCTTGATCCCCACTGATACAGGGATTTGAGGGTCTGTGCAAACTGTGAAGGACCAAATGGTTCCAGAGAATGACATCCTGGGTATGACCAGCTCCACTAGCCAGGGGGCATCACTCCCAGAGGAAAGGACCCCACCCCAACCAGGCCCTGGGCTTTTCCTAGGACTTCAGTTCTGTCTTTGGCAGTTCCCCATCTGAGACTTCCAGAATGATCTGAGAAAGCTCTTATCCTGCATGTGCTGCACTGAGAGATGTTGGAAACCAATATACTAAGACGGGATAGTTTGCATCTGTATTCCCTAAAGATCTCCTGCCACCCTGAGCCTCTGTATGGCAGTTAGCATATTAGCCTGTAGCTTTCTTCCTGTTGCCAAGTGGGCTGGATGAATAAACCAGCCCAATTAAAATGACACCTTTGGAGTAAGGCAAGGAAACCCTGTAACTAACCAGAAATGCCTTTGAATATCTGTAGACTTGGCAGGAGTTCTAGCTAGTATGACTGAGCCCATTTTGCCAGATTACCCCATTGAAAAGTGGTTCTTGATGACAATGATATCATCACACCTAAAAAACAGGCTTTTCAATGCCTTCTAGCTCCCTCAGCCAAGAGCCTCCACCTTCACTCAGTGCTTGGACTGAAACTCTTAGAATGACCCACAAAAGCATTGGCAGGTCCTTAGAATGACCTTGAATGATTATGCCCCAATTTGGCTCGGATTAAACTGATGTTGTTCCACTGATGTGGCACCTTTTCACTAATGAGTTACTGTCAGCTGCCATCACCCTTAGGTGAGCAGGCAGACTTTACGGTTTCTCCTGTTGGGCATAGGCTGAAGTCCTTGGTGGGGTGTGGTGGGACAACTCATGGTGCTAACCCCATCCCACACTCCTCCTCCAGGCCTGGTCCCTAGGACCCAGCTCCATTATTACGAGGAGGGGGTACAGGATATTCTAAGGAGTTGGTCCCAATTGTTTAGGACTCCTGGGATAAGAAGAGCTGGAGGAGCTCAGGACTCCAGCTTGGCTCTGGAGATTGGGTGATGAGTGGAATTCCTCTCCAATTTTGGTAACTATTTTTGGTGATGAACTTTGACATATTAGAATTTGAGATTTCTACAGCTACCTGGGGCTTCAACATACCCACTTCACTATACTCTCTGTCAGGGATGAGGCTGAAGGACAGAGGAGAGGAAGTCAGGAGCAATTCTGTTTGCTCTGGGTTGCATTTCCTCCCTTCCATCCCTCCTCAGTCCACTCTCCCTGGCTTCACACTGCCCCCAGCCATCCTTATCTGGAAAAGCCACCCACTAGAGGTCTTTGCCAAGCCCCCTTTTAGAAGCCACAGGAGGCTAGTCACCCCTAATCCATTTTTCCTCTGTAAGGGCTGGGCTCTGGAGGAGCTGGAAAGGTCATTTTATCCATCCCTCTGCCCATAGATGAAGTTACTCTTAAAAAAACCAGGTGGATCTTCTGATGGGCAGGGCTTGAAGTTGGGGTCTTTCCAGGCACCCACATACAGAATTAACCCCCCCCCCCCCCCAGCAGGAGGCTATCTGTCACTAACACAGCATGTCCAAGGTCAGAGAACAATATTTCTTGAGCTTGGCAGAGCATGTCAAACTGACCTTTGCCCATGTTCCAATTGTCTCATCTTCTTTCACTCAGCCTTCCCTTCCCCACCAAGGGCCCACATTCCTTCCAGAGAGCTGGGTCCAAAGAGGGGATCACAGTGCAAGTGGTTTCAAGGACTAAGTATATGGAAGATGTGTCTACAAGGCTTGGTTTCCCCGAGCAACCCCATCCCTGCCATGGCCTTTCCCTAGATCTGTGGTCGGCAAACCGCGGCTCGCGAGCCACAAGCAGCTCTTTGGCCCCTTCAGTATGGCTCTTCCACAAAATACCATGTGCGGGTGCGCACGTACAGTGCGACTGAAACTTCGTGGCCCTTGCGCAGAAGTCGGTATTTTGTGGAAGAGCCACACTGAAGGGGCCAAAGAGCCGCATGTGGCTCGCGAGCTGCGGTTTGCCGAGCTGCAGTTTGCCGACCACTGCCCTAGATGATGCTAATGATGCCAGCAGGCTTCCCTTGGCCAGCCTGCCTACTGCTGGGTACAGTTTATGCCAGAGACTGGGGAGGGAGAGGAGAAAAGCCCATATCCAGACCTCTCACCCTCAGATATTCCTGTGACTTGGGCCTTATCTGAAGGGCTCTTGGGCATGTGTCAGTGGTTCCCAACCTGTGGTTTTCAGAAACACTGTTCTGATCAATATACCCTGTGCAGGGCCCCCTCCCAGGGAAGGTGCCACAGCTTTAAGTTCCTGTTGACTGAACCCAAGGTGTAGTAGGCACAGCCTTGTCTTGGGGGCATATCTAACCAAGAGGTGAGAATGCCTCAGTTGACTCTTCAAAGCCCAGGTACCCGGAAGGGTTTTTATTATGTAAATCCAGTCAAGCACCGGGAATGAATAGACTCGGGCCAACCCAAGCTCCTTCATCTTGAGTTTTGGTGAAACCTCCTGATATTTGGGGAATTTGGGCTATAAAATAAACACCTGCTTCAGTGCTGA